ACTGTCTGACGCGTTTGCCTCCGCGACCCGAAAGGAGAAGCGGCGATGGAAGATGAAGATGAAGATGAATGCCAACTATCGCAAGAGTTATTCGATTTACTTGCGATCAACTCTCACAAACCGTCAAACAGTCAGGCAACGAAGCAGCAAAAGGTACGGCACCTCCAAACTCCGTATGACAAAGGAGGTAGACGGTTAAGTCTATTCGTTTAAAGGATGGAAGGTTAAAGAACCGGAAGGAAATATTCATGGCTACCGTCCGTAATAATTCAAAACGAACATATTGAATCTCTTTATACATGCTGCCAACCTTTCAAATGAAATATGACGATTGACTAGGTCGAATAAAAGATCTGGAAGGTAATTCAGATACGGAAAGAAGGAAATTCGTAAAATTCCTCGTGTTATTTGCAAAAAATACCGTAGACAGCATTCCAGCAAATTTTAATAGCAAGTTACACCTTGAACAATAAATGCCATTGATATTACCTAGACTTTGTGAATAAATTCACTTTTAGCTACTAATATTTGGTAAAGTAACATAATGTTACCTATCTAAGTGGCTTCTGAGAAGAACGTGATGTTGTCAAGAAAAAGATACGCATACCTGACTTCGGCTCGCAAATAGCTCCTTTTTGTACATTAAAAAATGACTCGTTCCTAACTGTGGATTAATTTATTTTCGACAAAGTTTCAAGGATGTGAAAACTCTAAGTGGCTATAAGCAGACGACAGAAATGGTTGTCCTGTTAACTGGGAAGGAGGTAATGTTATGAACACTATAACAGCACGTAAATACCTCAAGGAGTAACTTTTCAGCTGCTTCCAGTTCCAGCTGTATTTTTCTATCAACGGCGCAAGTAATATCGACGTCGTCCTCCCACAGATGAGAAAGGTTTGACAGAACGTTGCTAACCATCGCTGTCACCCTGGTCGACGGTGATTTACTGGCCCTTTGTTGACCAAGTTTCTTCTGTCCCGTTCTTCTGATAGTTCGCACAGGTACTTTCAACTGCGTTTCAGCACCTGACAAGGTACTGACATTCATTGCCTGTGACGCGAAAGTGATGTGTTCATTTGCCACAGCGAGTGTATTCAAATCTTCGGCATCAGTGACAAGTTCGCGTCTCTGGTTCTTCTGCTTGGAAAGTTTGATTTTGCCCTGTTTGTTGTCAGGAAATCGATCAGTCTCTCTCTGTGCATTTCTGCCGCGCTGTCGTTCCCTGACTTTATGAATTTCAGGCGCCTGGCTGCTTTCCAAGCATTTGTCGGTTTCATCCATAAATTCAGGTGCGCACGCTACTCTGGTCAAGTTAAGTTCCTGAGAATCAAATAAATGGCGACCGTGGGTCGGCAATCCAAGCATGCTTTTGTTGGCAGTCTTGATTCGAAGTGTTTTAACAAGTGGCCTTGAAATGTCTTTTGTGGGTTGAATTTGGTTCGTATTTTTAACGACTCTCCTTTTCGTCTTCACCTCTGATTGAGATTGCTCATCCTCGCCGTTTTCATCTGCATCAGGTTGTTTATCATCGTTGCCGTGCACCTTGTCAGGGAACGATGTGCTCTTAACACCTTTCGTTCGGAAAACGCGAATCTTCATTGGGGCA